AATGGAACAGTTAACATGAAAACTGAACTATAGATAACAAGAATGGCTACTTCAAGCCAAAACCGAAAGACAAAGTCTCAGAGATAGTATCAGAAAATAGTGGTGCACATCCAACAGATTCTGGGCCAGTCACATCAGTAAAAGTTCTCTCCAATGTCAACTGAAATACCTGCACAGCATTGGCTCCCAAACTGGACAAAGGGTTCTATGACACCAAGGGAAGCCACACAGCCATGGGTGCCAAGCAGAAGCCTGGAGTCACAGAGACATGGGGTCCAAATTCAGTCTGTTGCTCATTCACTGGGAGCCCTGGAGCGTATTACTTAACCTCCTAAAGTCTCAGTTTCCTCATCTGTAACGTAGGGATAAAGCATTACTACCTCAGCCAGGCCAGTGTTGCTCATTAGGTTGGGCATTGCCCCATGCACCAAGAAGTTGCAGGTTTGATTTTTGATAAGGGCACATGCCCGGGTTACAGGAATTGATCCCCAGTAGGGGGCATTCAGGAAGCAGTTCATTGATGTTTCTCTCTCATTCATGTTTCTATCTCTCCCTCCCTCTCTCTCTAAAAATCAATAAAAAAGAATTACTACCTCAAAGGGTTATTACAAGGCCTAATTTAAAAACATCACATAAAAAAAGAAAAGGAATAGGGGCTACGGGGCAAAATTCACAGAATATTTTCCCAGGACAAAAATCACAATTGGCTAGAACTAATATAGGTATTTTCAGAAGTATCTCCAATCATAAAAGAGCACAAATCTAATACAACTGAATATAGTATTCTCCCAAATAGAGCATGTCCTGAGCCACAATAATTATTAACAAACTTCCCATGCAAATATTTTTTCTTTTCCAATAAGTGTTTGCACAAGTATGTGTACATGATATGACAGATTATATTAGCAACAAAACATTTATTTCCTAACCATATAACTTTTAAGGCAAAAAAAGATATGCATGCAATGAATAAAGAAACTTCTCATCACTACTCTTCTCCCTACCCCCAAAAAAGGCAATAAAATTTAAGAATTACTGATACTCAAAAAAGAAGGATCACTTTTAAATAACTGACTTTTCAATGTATGATTTTGCCAGGTCATCAGTTTATTTTCTTCCCTCTTGCCTACTCGCTTTTTTTAAAATATATTTCTTTATTGATTTCAGAGAGGAAGGGAAGAGAAAGAGATAGAAACATCAATGATGAGAGAGAAACACTGATCAGCTGCCTCCTGCACGCCCCCCATGGGGAATCGAGCCCGCAACGCCAGTATGTGCCCTTGGCTGGAATCGAACCTAGGACCCTTCAGTCCACAGGCCGATGCTCTATCCACTGAGCCAAGCCGGCCAGGGCTACTCGCTATTTTTTCACCATACTATCCTAGAAAATTTCTTTTTTATATAAACACAAGTAAAAATCAGACCTAATCAAGTGCTCAAGAGAAGATCTGACAAAGAAAAAAATCTGGAACTACTGTGTAACAAAATTAATGGTAATGCATTAATTGTTCATATTATGTCTCACATTAGAAGATAATCAAGAGTGATTTGGTGTTGTGGGTTCAACTCACTCAAGCATTACCTGTCAGATCATCCTTCAACTGATTATGGCTTGTGATGAATGACACTTCAGCCTGAGACAGTTCTTCTGAACATTCACTTGAAGCTCTTTCATAGCAAATAATCAGGGAGCATCATGCTTTTTAAAAGTAATTCTCTACATTTACTAGTATATATGTGATTCTTTACAAGGGCTTTTCACATAACTTAAAGACTCTCCTGGAATTGTTTCCTTTATCCCACTATCTCATCTATACTTAAAGATAAAATATTGTTAACAGCTAAAACTCAAAGCTGCAACAAATGACCACAATAGTAGCTAAATTGTGTTTCTTATAATACTTGGGCTAAAGTGGTCATAATCATATTAGATCTGGCAGCTTAAAGAATCATTAATGCCTATGGTTAAGAACATAAGCTCTGGAGTCAAGACTGGGTTCAATTCCAGCATCACTAATTATAAGCAGTATTAACTTTTGATCAAGTTCTTTGATCTCAAAGAACTTATGCCTCAGTTTCCTTCTCATCTGCAAAATGAGAAATACCAAGTACCTACCCCATAGGATTGTTTCAAGAATTAATCAAGATTATACAGGTAGCCTTAGCTGGTTTTGCTCAGTGGTAAGAGGGTCAGCCCAGGACTGAAGGGTCACTGGTTTGATTCTAGTCAAGGGCATGTACCTCAGTTGCAGGCTCCATCCCTGCCCCAGTTGGGGCACATGGGGAGGCAACCAATCAATGTCTCTCTCTCACACTGAAGTTACTATGCTGCTGTAAAAAGGAAGGATCTCCTACCATTTGCAACAGCATGGATAGAGTGGAAAGCATTATGATAAGCCAAAAAGCCAGTCAGAGAAAGATAAATAGCACATGATCTCACTCATTTGTGGATTACAATGAACAACATAAACTGATGAACAAAACAGATCCAGAGACAGAGAAGCATCCATCAGATGCTCAAACCTCAGAGGGAAGGTAGGGGAGATCAACCAAAGGACTTGTATGCATGCATATAAGCATAACTAATGAATACAGACACCAGGGGTGGTGAGGGCATGGGAGGATGGGGCAATGGGGGATAAGGACACATATGCAATACCTTAATCAATAAAGAAAAGTCAAAAAAAGATACTTAATTTAAAAAATGAAGTTTCTCTCTCTGGCTCTCCCCCTCCCTTCCACTCTCTCTAAAAATCAATGGGAAAAATATCCTCAGGTGAGGATTAACAAAAAATAATCCTATATAATAAAAGCTAATATGCAATTTGTCCCCTCAGGAGTTCAACTGAATGGGAGTTCAACCGCTTGTTATGACGTGTGCTGACCACCAGGGGGCAGCGTGGAATGAAGGAAAGTCCCAGCCAGCAGCTGGCAGCCGGCAGCTCGGGGAAGGAAGGCCCCAATCAGCCCTGATCTCTGGCCAGGCCTAGGGACCCCTGCATGAATTTCATGCACCAAGTCTCTAGTAACAAAATACAAAATTAAAAAGATTATACAGGTAAAGGTAGAATTCTTACTCTTACCACCAGGTTCTACAAAAATTCAAGAACCATAAGGAGAATCAACCCTGGCATAAAATGAATAATTCTATTCAGAAAGTGTATACATGGTTATTCACTCACTCTAAAGAAAGGAAGAAATCCAAATTCAGAAAACCCTACAGTTTTAAATGCCAACTTTGTGAGATACAATAAAGTACACCCTCCATGATGAACATGAGCACCTGATAATAACCAACCAAGTTGTACTGGTACGGACCTCTATGGGTCCAATACCCTATATATAAAGGTTTACTATCCTTGAGACAATAAGCACAAATTCAGAAACCAAAGCCACAATGTTTTCACAACTAGGAATCTATAATCTAAGAACTAAAGTGTATTTTTTTTTCTCGAGGGAAGGATATCATCTATCTACTGGTGGTTAATGCAGAAAAATAAGCATAGGTATCATAGTCTCATTCCCAAAATCTATATACTAGCTAAAGAGCCCCATAAACACATAACATCCTAGTAGTTACTCAAAGGCACATTTCACCAACTACGAATACAATTCTGATCCATGCTCCCTGTTTTTTCCTTTAGCTTGCCACTAGGCGCCAAGAATACATCTCAGTTGGCTGGCCAGTGTGGTTCAGTGGTTGAGCATCCACCTATGAACCAGGAGGTCACCGTTTTAATCCCACCGGTCAGGGCACAAGCCTGAGTTGTGGGCTAGATCCCCAGTGGTAGGCATGCAGGAGGCAGCCTTCCATCACTCATAATTGATGTTTCTCTCTCTCCCTCTCCTTTCCTCTCTGATATCAGTAAAAATATAGCAGGAGGCACTTCCATCACTCATAATTGATGTTTCTCTCTCTCCCTCTCCTTTCCTCTCTGAAATCAGTAAAAATATATTAAGAAAAGGGAAAGCTAAGTTAAAAAAAAACACATCTCAGAGTAAAAAAAATTATTAATTCACAAGGGATGAAATGTCCAATGTCAAACTGCCAGAGAAGCAAGCCGGCCACCTGTCTAAAAGTGGTATACATTTCATATTAACCCATATTTTTAGACACTATCAAGAGGCAAATCAGAAGCACAAAGGGAAAAAAGCCTGAATCTAATAAACGTGCTTGATTGGTAAGAGGCAGCCTGCTAGGCATAGCTTCCCTTGCAATAAATCTTACTTCCCATCAACCCACGTTTACCTGCTCCCCATCCCTCATGGAATAAATAAACAAAAATAGGGTCTAATTACTTTTGCTCGAAATTTGCTCAGAAAGTGGGAAAACATTTGAGATCTGCCTTACCAACCATAAAAGCTGGACTTCACAAAAAAGTATGCCCTTCGGAAGCAAAACCTCATGTTACTTTCCCCTTGCCTAGAGGTAAGTCCAAGGATACCCTTGAGGATCTGAAGTAGAAAAGGGATGTAAATACTTGGCAAGATCCATCCATTCACCCCCAGAAAGGGACTTATCCCCAAGGGCTACAAAAACAAAAATCTGCAAGGCCTGGGTACTTCCGGTCTCCAGCCGTCTTAAGGCCACTAAGTCGTCCCAGGATCTCACATCCTCCTGCACGCACGCCCTTCCCCCTCTTCCCACCCTCTCACCCGCCTTCTTCCCACCCTACCACCTCCCCCTTTTCTACCCTCCCACCAGCTTCTTCCCCAACGCAGTTTCTAGGCCCAAAGATTAGGAAGAATGACGGGGATTGCAACAACTGCCTCCGACTTCAGCGGTCTCAGTGCACAGGCATCAAATAAACAAGAGGAGGCCAACTAAGCTTCACTGGTTAGGGAACGTTAAAGCATGCGCCCAACATGCCTAAAGAGAAAACGATGCCTCTTTCAGCTAAGCAACAGACAGGTCTGAGCCACCAAGCCAAAGCTTTCCCAGACTCAGAAAGCGCGTAGGCCAAGATCGTTAGGACCCGTGAGACCGGGTTGTGTTTTACCTCATGGGCTCAGCAGTCATGTTTTCGCTTCAAAGCCTTATGGGCTTCAGCTACCGTAGGGCGTCGCTCCGCGCTTCCTGGCGCCCGGCTACGACAGAAATGCACTGCACTCAGTCGTCACGATAGCTGCTGCTGGAAGCTGCCCACAGCTCAAAGGCCGCGACTACTGCCACCACTGCAGAAGCCGCGGAAACAAAGCGACGCCGCCGCCGCCGCCATTTTGTTGGGCCGAGGCTTAGGCAGGAGAATTGGCGCGTCCTCCCTCTTCCTCTTTCCTTCCTCCATTGGCTAACTCCTCCTCAGTTCGGACGCTGATTGGCTACTGAAATTCACATTCTTTGGGGGCCTGTTGCTAAGGCGGTCTGAGTCATTTGATCCTCTCCACCTTTTTGTAGAGGTTCGCACCAATTTAGTCCCATTGACCTGAAAGTGCTAGTGACTATTTTGACTTTATTCCAAAATGCTTTTTGATGCATCCTCTTTTCTTGACATATTCGCAAACTAATAACAACAACTTACATTTATTGAGAGCTTACTATATACCCACCAGTATACTAATCTTTAACAGGACTATTTCATGTAATCCTCATACCCTTGAGGGTATACACACTATTATTACCTACATTTTTCCAGATGAGGAAACCAAGGCACAAAATCCCACAGTAGTGAAGCCGAAATTCAGGCCAGACACCACACTCTTAAACACCAATCTAAACTTAGATCCTAAATGTTCTTTCCAAAATTCCAGGTTATCATGAAGTGCTTTCCTTTTCCGGATGTTTTATGTATAATATTCAGCATGTCATATATATATATGACATAAGACCAACTTGAAACCTGCATACAATTCTTTCAATATTGAATAAACTCTACACTGCTGCTTGGAAAACACACACACACACACACACCATTTACCCAATCTGATGTGATGTGTAGCTCATAAACGAACCAATCTAGATCTGTTTCCTCATTACAGAGGTATGGCGGATGATCTCTGCTTTCATGTTCTATAATTTAATGGTCCATTGGTAATCTCTGCAAGTCACAAATCAGTTCTCTAAAATTGAATAGTTTCAATTTTTTATCCAAAATTATTCTGCAATACATGTTTTAGTTAATTCTATTTGTTTTTCTTGAAATCTGCAAGAACTCCTGTTGTGTTTAGGTTGCAGGGTTGCTGCTTTCTATTGGAATATCAAGTGATGAGCCTTTTTTAAATGGAATACTTTGATAATCTGATAGACTCAGGCAACTTTTTAATCAAAAGAAGCTTGTACACATTTCAAGTCATCTTTCAAATATTTAGGCACCATTGCCAACTGTAGAAACCAGCTTTCTGTATCCACTATACTGATTTTCTTCTTGTGGTACATTAAGCATCACTTAAATATACAACTTACAGAAGTTTTATTTTCCTCCCTGGTAAATGCAATTAACTAATTAGCTTGAAAGGAGATCCACTTCATTACAGAAAGCACACAACTTTTAAAACATATCTTGGTGACAAAGAAACACTAAAGAGCTTTAAATGACATCCCACAAATAGAGAATAACAACATTTTAATCATAGAATTTTAAAAATACACAATAATTCACTATATTTGTTTATTATAAGAAAGAGTATTTCTATGCTTTTAAAGGATGACTAACAAAGTTTTACTGATATAGTTATATTACTTTCAATAGATGCTTCTCAATTAGTTTCATTCAGCTGTATTTTAGAAAAAATTCAATGTTACACATCTCTTCCACAATTTTTATCAAATTGCCACAGAAATCAACTTAGAACCCTTTCTTCCTATCAAACCTAATAGGATTCTTGACCATAAGTGTGTAATTTGTTAATTTGCTTATTTGCTTTAGAAGAAAGAGAAGGTAAATTACCTTTAAGAGAACAAGTTGGATGAGAACTAGATCCTCTCATATTTTTTAAATAAACACCATCACAAGTTCTATTTTATGTCCAAATCACAATGCTATGGAAACATCTATGAAATGTTTAAATGTATAAATTCTTAATTCAGAAATTTAACTAACAGGGATGTACCCTCTACAAGTGAAAACTGAGATGTCTGAAAGACTATTCACTGAAGCATTGTCACATCAAAGTGACATAGATGTTCCTCAATTGGGGAGTGGTTAAATAAATTATTATATCCATACAAAAATACCATAAAGCTTTTTTATATAAATTTGTTTCCAAAATCCCCATTTCTATTGCAGGTGAGACTGTGGCACAGTTCATAGACTAAGAAATAAGAATGGATGCAGGCGATTTTTTTAGTATTTAAAGGGCAAAAATGACTTGTCCCACGATATAAACAAGGTAATTAAAACCTTTTTTTAAATGTTTAGACTCTAAGGATGTAATTATTGGGTATTTTTAAAATGTATCTTTATTGTTGAAAGTATTACAGATGTCCACCTTCTCTTCCCCCTATTAACTCCTGAGTCTTTTTTTCCCCCTCTCTTTGTGTTTGCCTTGACATAAATACCAAATTCCATGCCTTTCTTAGGCCCTTACAGCAATTTATTTTCATGCCAAACCTCTCATTAAGCCTCCTCCTTCTCTTTAAAAAAATTTTTGAGAAATAATTCACATAAATTTCATCCTTTCAAAGTGTATAATTCAGTGGTTTTTAGTATTTTCACAAAATTGTGCAACCATCACCACTATCTGATTACAGAACGTTTTGATCACTGCAAAAAGAAACCAAATACATTAGCAATCACTCTCCATTCCCCCTCTCTCCAGTCCGGAGCAACCACTAGTCCTTGTGGATTTGTCTCTTCTGGACATTTCATCCTATATAATAAAAGCTCAGTGACCAATAGGTGGAACAACCAGAACAACCGATTGACCAGTCGCTATGACGTGCGCTGACCACCAGGGGGCAGACACTCAATGCAGGAGCTGCTCCCTGGTGTTCAGTGCGCTACCACAGTGGGAGCGCCACTTGGCTGACCAGAAGTCGAACATCCCTCTCGCAGTCTGGGACCTCTTGCTCCTTATCGCCTGCCTGCTCACTACTTACCACTGAGCTCACTGCTCCTTAGTGCTGCCACAGAGGCAGTAGAGGCTTCCACCACCGCCACTGTGCTCGCCAGCCATGAGCCCAGTTGCTGGTTGAGCAGCGCTCCCCCTATGGGAACACACTGACCACCAGGGGGCAGCTCCTGCGTTGAGCATCTGCCCCCTGGTGGTCAGTGCACGTCATAGTGACCAGTTGTTCCTCCGTTTGGTCGATTTGCATATTAGACTTTTATTATATAGGATTTTACAGTGTTTATAAGAGAACCTCTGACAGATTTAGTAATGTATTTTCTATAATGATGGTTTTCTAGAATTATCTTCCCAGATAAAAGTTAGAAAAATGTGAGGGATATTTCTTCCTAAGCCAGTTATTAGTAAAGTTATTCTCCAGTGAACTGAGTGTTTTAGTTTTAGTCTTATTCAGAAAGTTAGACCAGGTAGGGAGCTAGTCAACTAAACTGTTGAAGAGACACTTAGCTGAAATCAACTCCAAAGAAATTTATATTAGTATTCTTTTTATTTTAATTTAAAAGATTTCCAACTAAAATGAGAAGTGTTCTGTGGGCATTTTAAAGAGTTAGAGAAGCCGAAACCGGTTTGGCTCAGTGGATAGAGCGTCGGCCTGCGGACTCAAAGGTCCCAGGTTCGATTCCGGTCAAGGGCATGTACCTGGGTTGCGCACACATCCCCAGTAGGAGATGTGCAGGAGGCAGCTGATCGATGTTTCTCTCTCATCGATGTTTCTAACTCTCTATCTCTCTCCCTTCCTCTCTGTAAAAAATCAATAAAATATGTTTTAAAAAAAAACAAAAAAAAATAAAGATTTAGAGAAGATAGGAAAGCAACTAAGGATTTATACTTTTCTATAGTCGTTTTGCATATTTTTCATTTGGATAAAATTGAACATAGGGTTGGGGGTATGAGAAGAGATAAACCAAAGAACTTACATACTTATATGCATAGCCCATGGACACGGGCAATAAGGTAATGAAGACCTGGGGGGGTCGGTAGGGGCAGGAGGTGAAGAGGTGGGAAATGGGACATATCTGGAATATTATCAACAATAAAAAATATATTATTTTTAAAAAATCCCATTTCTATGCACTAACAATGACCAATCCAAAAAGGAAATTAAGAAAACAATCCTAAGCTCCTTTACTAAATTTGACAAAGGTTCAATAAATTCTTACATTACACTAATGGACTTCTATATATAAATCAAGTTTGCTGAAGTGATCACTGTCTATAGTGGTTCAATTTTTAAGTTACGGAAAAAACTTTTACTTTGTAGATGATATAAAATAAAAAATAAAACAGTCCCCTTTACTGTAGCATCAAAAAGGGTGAAATACTTGGGAATAAACTTAACCAAAAAGGTGAAAGAATTGCACACTGAAATCTACAAAACATTGCTAAAAGAAATGAAAGAAAATGCAAATGAATGGAGTCGAAACTGCTTTGGCTCAGTGGATAGAGCGTCGGCCTGCGGACTGAGGGGTCCCGGGTTCGATTCCAGTCAAAGGCATGTGCCTGGGTTGCGGGCATATCCCCAGTGGGGGATGTGCAGGAGGCGGCTGATCGATGTTTCTCTCTCATCGATGTTTCTGGCTGGCTGTCTCTCTCCCTTCCTCTCTGTGAAAAGTCAATAAAATATATTTTTTTAAAAAAGACAAATGAATGGAAAGACATCCCATCCTCATGGAATAGAAGATTTTAATGCTGTTAAAAAGTCATACTATCCAAGATTAAAAATGGCAGCAGAGTAAGTGGATGCTGCACAGACACGCTCCCAAGAACAAACTGGAATTACAACTAAAATACAAAAAAAACTTCTTTAATAATCAATGGTAGAGCCCAGCCGGGTATAGCTCAGTGGTTGAGCGTCGACCCAGGAACCAAGAGGTCGAGGGTTCGATTCCTGGTCAGGGCATATGCCCAGGTTGTGGGCTCGGTCCCCAGTGGGGGGCATGCAAGAGGCAGCCAATTAATGATTCTCTCTCATCATTGATGTTTCTATCTCTCTTTCACTCTCCCTTCCTCTCTGACATCAATAAAAATATAGTAAAAAAGAAGTTAAACTTATAAAAAAAGAATAATCAATGGTAGAATCGCTGGAGAAAACCCTGATACCCGAGGACTGAAAGTGGAGACTGTATACAGACTGGTAGGAGGGGCGGAGGTGAGAGCGGGC